TAAATGAAAGGATGCCCATTTACAACACAATTGTTTGCCAGCTCATTTATATTCCAATTTTTCGTTTCTACGCTCACTAATTTCATGACTCATACATGTATGTATAAGATCTTATAAACAACTGTTTTAAAGTCAGTCATGCAACTATTGTTAATGTCCCATCAGAGTCAGCATTCATTAATGTTATTACCAACCCTACCCTTGCAGGGAAAGGTATACAGTGTCTTTTGTTCCCATCAAAGATGTGGCCTATTACGCTTCATAAACTGGAATAATCGCCACACACCTTTCTGGCGTTTCTGTGTGTAATTACACATATCACCTCCCTTCGTACCTGTGGTAGTCAACAGTTTTTAACCCAGTTTCATGAGTGTCATGGAGTTTGAAACTAATACCACGATCTTCTCTAATTGTATGGTGGTTGCTTTGAAAAGCTACATCTTTTCCCAGTCTATTCCATTGATTAAGATTATTTATGGTTGTTCTTATCTCTACTGTTCCATCATGTTCTTGCTGTCTACCCACCATGGAACACCCCACTGTCTCACACTAGGATCAGGTAATGGGGGTTAAAACACAGGGTCTCCTCTGGCTTCAGTACTGCAAGAATTTGATTATGATCTGTTAGATATATGGTCTGTATGGTTCTGTAAGCAAACAGGATATCTGGGGATTCCTGATTCTGGAAAAAGTCCACAGTACAAGATGACTACTATGGGGATCAGGTGTTCAGCCTGTTGCCTGGCTGATTGGGTGTCTATGAACCATGATCTGTGATCACCATACACAATCTTTAGACCATGATCTGTGATCACCAAACACAATCTTTAGACCATGATCTGTGATCACTATAAACAATCTGTAGACCATGATCTGTGATCACCATACACAATCTGTAGACCATGATCTGAGATCACTATACACAATCTGTAGACAATGATCTGTGATCACCACACACAAACTGTAGACCATGATCTGTGATCACTAAAAACAATCTGTAGACCATGATCTGTGTTCACCATACACAATCTGTAGACCATGATCTGTGATCACCGTACACAATCTGTAGACCATGGCCTGTGATCACCATACATAATCTGTAGACCATGATCTGTGATCACCACACACAAACTGTAGACCATGATCTGTGATCACTAAAAACAATCTGTAGACCATGATCTGTGATCACCATACACAAACTGTAGACCATGGTCTGTGATCACCACACACAATCTGTAGACCATGATCTGTGATCACCACACAATATATAGAACATGGCCTGTGATCACCACACACAATCTGTAGACCATGGCCTGTGATCACCATACATAATCTGTAGACCATGGCCTGTGATCACCATACATACTCTGTAGACCATGGCCTGTGATCACCATACACACTGTGTAGACCATGATCTGTGATCACCATACACAATCTGTAGACCATGATCTGTGATCACCATACACAAACTGTAGACCATGATCTGTGATCACCATACACAATCTGTAGACCATGATCTTTGATCACCATACACAATCTTTAGACCATGGCCTGTGATCACTATACACAATCTGTAGACCATGATCTGTGATCACCATACACAATCTGTAGACCATGATCTGTGATCACCATACACAATCTGTAGACCATGGCCTGTGATCACTATACACAATCTGTAGACCATGATCTGTGATCACCATACACAATCTGTAGACCATGATCTGTGACCACTATACACAATCTGTAGACCATGATCTGTGATCACCACACACAAACTGTAGACCATGATCTGTGATCACAATACACAATCTGTAGACCATGATCTGAGATCACTATACACAATCTGTAGACCATGATCTGTGATCACCATACACAATCTGTAGACCATGATCTGAGATCACTATACACAATCTGTAGACCATGGCCTGTGATCACCACACACAATCTTTAGACCATGATCTGTGATCACCATACACAATCTGTAGACCATGATCTGTGATCACCACACACAATCTTTAGACCATGATCTGTGATCACCATACATAACCTGTAGACCATGGCCTGTGATCACCATACATACTCTGTAGACCATGACCTGTGATCACAATACACAATCTGTAGACCATGATGTGTGATCACCATTCACAAACTGTAGACCATGATCTGTGATCACAATACACAATTTGTAGACCATGATCTGTGATCACCACACACAAACTGTAGACCATGATCTGTGATCACCACACACAATCTATAGACCATGATCTTTGATCACCATACACAATCTATAGACCATGGCCTGTGATCACTATACACAATCTGTAGACCATGGTCTGTGATCACCGTACACGACCTGTAGACCATGATCTGAGATCACCATACACAATCTGTAGACCATGGTCTGTGATCACCATACACAAACTGTAGACCATGGTCTGTGATCACCACACACAATCTGTAGACCATGATCTGTGATCACCACACACAATCTGTAGACCATGATCTGTGATCACAATACACAAACTGTAGACGATGATCTGTGGTCACCCTACATGACCTATAAACTATGGTCTAACAATACCTTACAAAATCTATAAACCATGATCTGTGATCACCACACACAATCTGTAGACCCTGGCCTGTGATCACCGTACACAATCTGTAGACCATGATCTGTGATCACCACACACAAACTGTAGACCATGATCTGTGATCACAATACACAATCTGTAGACCATGATCTGTGAACACCATACACAATCTGTAGACCATGATCTGTGAACACCATACACTATCTGTAGACCATGATCTGTGAACACCGTACACAATCTGTAGACCAGGATCTGTGAACACCATACACAATCTGTAGACCATGATCTGTGAACACCATACACAATCTGTAGACCATGATCTGTGAACACCATACACAATCTGTAGACTATGATCTGTGAACTCCATACACAATCTGTAGACCTCTGTGAACACCATACACAATGTATAAAGTACCAATATTCTCTAACATCAGTTTACAATGTCAGTCTTGCTGACTTGGTTGATGCACTGTCATCGATGCCAATTGCGTGGATGGATGCTCATGATATCAATCACTGGATTGTCTGGTCCAGACTTGATTATTCACAGACCGCCGTCATATAGCTGGAATATTGCTGAGTTCGGCGTTAAACAACAAACCAAGTACAATGTGAAACTGACCATGTAGCCACTGTCAGTGTGTCCTGCAAATGATTAAAGTTGTCTCATTGTCACAGCGGCTTCTTGATCAGTTACTCCAGTGTTTGCCCTGTGGATCATTTCCAGACTGTCAGATATAGCTGGAATACTGTCAACTGTGTCACTAAACAGTATTCCCTTAATGTTAATTAGATCCAAACACCAACCAACTCCACGGTGTCTTGACTCATTACACTACCCTTTGTTGATTACATGGATCCACCTCATTATGAATCCACTTGGATCATAGATCCACTCTACGAAACTTTTGAAAACGTGGGAAACAGTAAACAGATTTCTTCTTCACTGAGTCAGTCAGTGCATTTAATTACATGACACAGAAGTCTTCGAAACCTGCCTACCTTACCAACTGTGCCTTGCATGTCTTTCTGTTCTCGTGTCACTAATAACAACGGATGAGAAAAAAGTCAAACTAATCCTTTGGAAAATATCAGTTCATCACTTCCACTTAACAGCCAGTACACTCCTATAACAACAAAGCTATTTGGGGCAACAAATATTAATTATTTCATGTTTGACAAGGTGAATATAAAAGAATATTTTTCTTGAGGTTGTATAGCTGTCACAAGTGTGTAAAATTCTTAAACAATTTTCTGTGAACAGCTTCAACACACGATTCACCTCACAACTGTAATACTATTCCCCTCACAGCTTCAGCACACTATTCCCCTCACAACTGTAACACTTCCCCTCACAGCTGCAACACACTATTCCAATCGCAACTGTAATACTGTTCACAACTGCAACACTATTCCCCTCACAGCTTCTCACACTATTCCCCTCACAGCTGTAACACACTATTCCCCTTACAACTGTAACACTGTACTCCTCACAGCTGTAACACTGTTCTCCTCACAGCTGCAACAAACTATTCCCCCTACAACAGCAACATTGTTCTCCTCACAGCTGCACCAAACTAGTCCCCTCACAACAGCAACGCTATTCTCCTCACAACTGCAATACACTATTCCCCTTACAACTGTAACACTGTTCTCCTTACAGCTGCAACACACTATTCCCCTGACAACAGCAACACTGTTCTCCTCACAGCTGCTCACACTATTCCCCTTACAACTGCAACACACTGTTCTCCTCACAACTGAAACACTGTTCCCCTCACAGCTGCAACAAAGTATTCCCCTCACAACTGTAACACTTTTCCCATCACAGCTGCAACACACTATTCCCCTTACAACTCTACCACTGTACTCCTCACAGCTGCAACAAAATATTCCCCTCACAGCTGTAACACTTTTCCGCTTTTAACTGCAACACACTGTTCCCCTCACAACTGTAACTCTTTTCTCTTTACAACTGCAACACACTATTCCCTCATACTGCATCACTGTTCTCACAACTACAACACTCCTCACAAATACAAGCATGTTTCCCTTACAATTGCAACATTGTTCTTACAATTTCAACACTGAAAGTCCATATATCAGAAAAAAAATTATTGACCCTTTTGTGTTGCTATGCTAAAAGAATGAAATACTATTCAAATGATTTTCATTCATTTTACTATAAGTCTTAATCATGAACTTACTCGAATAATGTTATGTCTTCACGATGGTCCACCCCACCATGTTATTGCAGGAATATCGCTAAAATCAGCGTAAAACCATACTCACTCACTCACAATATTCATTCAAGCTTTCAACATTTTGAAAATATTATTATTCAACATTGATTAATTGCTTCATTAATGTATGATTTGTGAAATAACCAGATGCTTCGTTTTTCCGCAGAAAATTACCAATAAACAACTGGATCTATAAAGGGAAGATGGCTGACAATAACCCATTTGTGGACCGCACAGAAACCTACTTGGCAAGTCCAGAGAAGGTAAAGATTAACAAGAACAAAACAACCATCATCTTGACAGGAAACACATCCGAGAAGACAACCTCAACTAAAAAGCGGGTCTCATCCACTTCCTGGCAGATCACCAAGACAACCGAGATCACTGACGAGGTCAAAACAGGTCAGAAAGTATCGACAATGGACTTTGAGATCGGCAGTTCAGGTTGTGTGTCTCCAACATCTTCCCCAGGGAGGAGGTCCTTTGTCTCCTCCACTGAGTTCACTACTGGTTCTGGTAAGACTGATGGTGCGGTTGGATTGTCAGATGATGGCAGTGATCCTGCTGATGAGTATGTCTTCATTGAGAATGAGGATGTGAACTTCATCGACAGAGTGGAGACAACCGAGATACGCAAGGAACAAGAGTCTATTGCTCCGGAACCTAAGAAGTCCTATTTTGCTTATCTCCTGGACCAGGATAATTCTTCCAACCCAGCATCCCAGAATGGTGACCAGGCAGCTTCAGAGGGGGAGGATTTGGTTCATTTGTCCAGTGCAGAGCTGGAAGAGAAGAAGAAGGATGATGCCACATTGTATGAGAGGATTACCTACACCCCTGGTCTTGCTATCAGGAGCTATGCTGTGGAAGAAATTCAACAGAAGAGGTCTTCAGAAGGAAGTATGGAAGATGCTGAAAACAACAACATGCAGGGACATGATGGAGGCCAGACAGAGACTAGAGATAGAGTTGCCAGCAGCACTGGTGAAGCCCCTCTGACTCCTGCCCAGGGGTACAGAATCTCCCAGATCATTGCAATGCAGGAGACAGACTTGTGGGAACAGGAACGTTTGAGAAAAGAAAGGGAGGAGTATGCCATCATTGACAGTCTGTCTATGGATGATATGATGAAGATGCTGGGAGAACATGATAGAATGAAGTTTGAAAGTCAGGAGGTTAATGAGGAGGTCTTTCCTATTATTCCTGGTCTCGCGTCTGATGCCAAATATTCTGAAATTTCTCAAAGAACAAGTTCCACTGAAAAGATTGACACTAAATTCTCTGAAATGTCTCAAGGTGGTAAAGCATCAGCACATAGAGAAGCCCCTAAAACCAAACGTTCTGATGCATCTCCTAAGGAAAGAACAACAGCTGCAAATAGCAACTCTTCTGAAATGTCCCAAAAGGTAATGAATCCTGCAGATAGTGGGCAGTCAACTGAAGTCAAGTACTCGGAAGTGTCACAAACAGTGACAGGTCCCACTGAAAGAAAACATATTTCTGATGCTGTTTATTCTGAAGTGTCCTCCAAGGTTCAGCAAATCAGAACTGACAATCTCTCACTTCAGCAAGTCACTGCAGAGGCTGATGTCACAGATTCACCATCCGTGACAAAGGTTGTGGATAACCGTCAAACCGAGACCAATGCCTTGTCACTTGATCAGTCAAGCATGGGTCATGCACAAGAGCTGAAGACACAGATGAAATCTTTTAGTGATGCGGAACAAAGCATCTCAATGAGCACCACATCAGTGACAAGTTCAGCAACTGTAGTGGGAGGTGTTTCCACAATAACTGCACAAAAACAAACTGAAACATCTCAGAGTCCCTCAAGGGAGGAGTCAATCTCACCGCCTATTGAAGTGGAACGGAAGTTTAACATTACAGCAGAGACTGAAAACAAAATAAAGAAACTTGGTGGGAAGTTAATGAAAGAGAGGTCTTTTTCAGACATTTATTTTGACAACTGTGATTATTGTCTGACCCTGTCTGATTGTTGGCTGCGGAAGAGGGAGAATAAATGGGAGCTGAAAGTTGCATCAGAAGGCATGTCCATTAAGGACCGGGTCTCACAGTACAAGGAAGTCACAAATGAGAAGGAAATCGTTTCATATCTGAAATCTAAACTCAAAATTGCAAACAAATGTTCTAAAGTAAAGGACATCATCAAATCAGCAGTGATGTCAGAATTTGCCACAATATTAACCACCCGTAAGAGCTATAGATTAGCCGACTGCACAATTGACCTTGACCTCACTGACCATGGTTTCCAAGTTGGCGAGATTGAGGTGGTGGCACCTTCTTCTTCACGAATACCTGCAGCCATCAAGACCATAGATGACGTGGCTAGGAGGCTGGGTATGTATACTGTGATATGTGTTATGTAATCTGTGGCTTCATGTAGAATAATCAGAGATATATCAGGTTATTGATGATTCAGCATTTCAGTGGAACTATGGGAGTAAGGTCTCAAGATCAATGAATTAAATTACACTTATTACAGGGAACTAGGATGAATCACTGATGTTTTGATGTGACATGAACAAACATATAGATCACATGCATACACTCTTTGTTGTTAATGAGATTATGGTGGTAAAAGAGACCATATATCATCACATTATCATAGTTGTTGGAATTGTAGTTCTTGGAGCTCAAGAGAAATCACAGGACCTGTGAATAATGTCACGAGGCTTGACTGCTAGTTTCATGATTAAGCAAAAAGATATTTGTTGTATAGAATGGATAGAAGAACCAAATAACAGGTCGAAAAGTAAGGCTGATCCTCAGAATCATATTTCAGCTTTTCAGTCACTAGAATGTTTTTCGTTTTAATGCTTGTTTTCCAGCTGTCAGCTTTTATTGTACAGCCCTGTTAATGTGCTGCATTAGGTACTTTACATACAAAGAAACAGCAGTGGCTTGTCAAAGATTGTATTGAATGGAAATGAACAAAAAGTGAGAAGTGTTAAGAAATGTTATTTAGAGGCAGAATGAGGATATCATAAAGAGGAAGGTTTTTCAGCTGAAACAGCTGCCTCCATATCATCTTTTGATATCTCTTGTCGTTATTCAGAGGACATTGGTTGAAATATGACACATCACGACACTTTTGTTTGTACTGGAATCTTGGCTAATTTAACTATGGAATCACTGTACCTCAATCAATTCGGTGAGCTAATCGTAAAACAATATTGAAGAGCTAAGGGCGATAGGGACATTACACTAGCTTGCTAATAAAGATTTGTATCAGCGTAGTTGCAGTGCCTACTTTTAGCCAACTTCGATCATCAAATCACTTTCTCATCTGTTGCTTTATTGCAACTTGTTTGAGGTTTTTCTGTAATTAGGTTCGTAGTTTGTCGTGTTCAATGAGCTGACGCCTACAGTTCTGATTTGGGGAGCAGCTAGTGACCCTCCCATCTTGTTAATGGCATCAAATCATCATTGGTCAAGTAAAACATACAAGCCATTACAGGATTTCCAATTGAGGGCAATTTTTGTGCAAACATTTAACAAGTGTTTTTGGAAACCTGACTTTGTATTGTTCATGTGCATGCAACATAAAATAATTAACCCTTTGCAAGATGAAGTCATTAACCCCTTTACAGAGGCAGTATCTTTCCTAGTTAGGAATGTTCCATGGAGAAAGACTATCATGCTTTTCTCTTAACAGATGTCTGCGTATGGGCACATGGATGCTTCATCTGATTTGAGACTAGATGTTTATTCCGGGGTTGGGTGTGGCGGGCGGTTGCACACCACCACCACCACACACAAGCCCGTGTCACGGATCTGCGTATGAGCTATAAAAACAACATTTTTTCTCATTTAAGATTTGATCATGATTATTAAAGCCAATTCTTTCCACAGAATCCTCTTTCCAAATTGGCCCATTGTAGGAAACATAATGTTGCTGTTTTTCTGTCTAATACAAACCTATTTACTGTCTCTACCAACACTGCATTGTACCTAATGTACAACAATTACAAAATTTGTAGTCACTGAGAGGAAGTTGTTCAAGTACAGACCTCATTTGGTTGTAAATCTACAAGGGATGATTACAAAAGATTTGCGCAGTGCAATCTTTTGTTCTGGATATAATGTCATAGAGATGTAACCACAAAAACTTGAGTCATTTGTAACAAGTTTCACTGTGACAAGTTAGTAAGATAAGCTTGGGTCTGTGACCTTTGGAAAATGGGCAACTTTAGGAATGTGCAGTGATCAAGTACTTGCAGAAAAAAGGGCTTAAGACTAAAAGCCATCCATGAAGATATGAGTACAGCACAAGGGAATGACGCCCCTTCCTATGCCACTGTAAAGAGTTTGGCACCAGAGTTTAAACATGTTAAGGACAGTCTTGAAGAAGATCCCAATCCTGGAAGGCCTGTGATGTCAGCCACACAAGAAATGATCCAGAGAATCCACTATGTGGTGATGACCGACCAGAGAATGACTGAGTGTCATACTGCTAGTTCAGTAGACATTTCCCTGGAGAGAGTGAGTAGATCCCATTATCACAGAAACTTTGGCAAGCTCGTTGAGTTCCAAAACCTCTGACATCTGATCAGGCACCACAACATGTCTCATGATAATCTAGCTCTGTTTGAAGCTGTTTCAGAAAGCTTCTTGACTATGGATGAAATCTGGGATCACAATTTCCAAAGTCCAAACAACAATCTGCAAGTACATGATCACTCCACATTCCCCAAGTGTGTCCATTTCCCATAGATCAAAGATCTCTGCTTCTTTTACTGACTTGTCACAGCAAGACTATTAGCTCAACTGACTGAAGTTTTGTTGATATATTTCTTTGACATCTTGTACTGTCCACAACAATTGATTTCACAATTACGCAATGCCTTCTATGTGAGGCCTAGAACTTACCAATCAACCCTCTTATGAGTCAGGGAAATTAATTTGTAATGCAAGTGAAATTGTCTTATATATGAATTTCAACTTCTCTTCTATCTTTATGGTGTTTGTAGAAGGCTTTTAATTATTTGATCAAATTGTTATACAAATTGTACAAGATGGTTTGTTAAGTATATGTTGAAGATTTTAGAAAAATTATAAGAATTTGTACTGGAAATCACTTTGTTCATCTTGCACACTAATGCAGTGTGGCAGATTTATTGGTGCAAGTTTGAACAATAAACAAAAAATTCACTTTAAGGAAAATGTGAGTTTATTTGGGTGCCAATGAAAGTGTAGTTTTGTATAACATGTAAGACAGATCTTACTAATTCATTTGCTGAAGATAGTTGTTTTTCAGCCCTTTAATTAGATAAGTAATGATCCTGCTTGCCATCCAACATGTCTGCAAGAATTCATACTTTCATCAAATAAAATAATTTAATAGTGATGGTTATATTTCACCAAAAAGGACCCATGGTGTGAAAAGAAAATATAAAATACTTCATTGTTTAGATTCAGAAAAACTGCATCAACATGGTAATTGGTTGTCTGGAAATCCTAATCTATTTCAAAATGGCCGACCTGTCAAGTCCATCGGACACAAAAGAATGTGCAAGATTTAATGATATATCCACTGTAATCTAGAATCCTGCAATGCCTCCAAATTGAATAATCCCAACCAAAAAATCTGAAATTATTAAGAGTGCTTTATGTCAGTCTTAGCTAACGTTGAATTTAGACGATTTCCTCATTGCGAGATGTCGCCTTTCTCTGCTATCGTGCTCGGAAACCCAGGCAGGCGTGTGAGAGGGGGGTAGTCTTGTCTGGCTTAATAATAGCCAGTACAAAAAGGATATAATATGCAAATGTCATCGTCATATGGCCACAAGTAGATCTAATACAATTTGTGGAAATTATGAGGGACTTCCAATATTGTTGAATGGAACCTATTTCTGCCGCAAACAGTCCAGTATGGAAATAGTGTGCGAAATTAAGCATGGTTTTGATGTAAGCATTATTTGCTTTGTGCATATAGATGAAATGTTACCATATTTCTGGCGGGCAGAAGATGAGAAAATGCCACAATCAATCATAATTACTGAGGCAATTCAAACAAGATTTGGAAGAAAATGTGTATTACAGGCTGCATTTTATTTGAGCAGATTTAATTATGCAAATGCAAATCTGAATTACTCCTCAAATGATGGGATCACGCCGGTATTGCACTGATGACTGATAACAAGTGTTCTATGCGAAACGCAAAATAATTAGTATCGAGTGAGTGCCACCACGCTACTCTGTGAAGGAATTGCAATCTCCATGCAAATTTGCGCCCCGAAAAAAGTGGGTCGTTTGTAATTGCTAGGAGCATATGCCATATTGATGCAGACATATTTGACAAGGTGGCCTAGGCTTGCCTGCAGTTGTGTAATTACAGTATTACTTAAAACTACAATCTGGACATGGCGTAATTATATTGGAAACTGAGAGCTCCGGTCAATATCTGTTCACCATCCCAGCTTTTTTAGGTCACCATTCAGATTGTTTAGGCTGGAAACGTGTTGACCAAAAGGATCTTTTTGCCGAATTCTTTTCATGTAGATTGATTGGGATGAATGGTGGTGAGATCTTATTTGAGTAAATATTTTTGAAAACTTGTACTTTTTGTTGAAGTGGTCATTTTGATTAATGTATTTCTCTATTCTCCTTGAATTGACAGAAATCATATCAGTTTGGGTTATGTTTTTGCAGGATCCAATGGTGTTGTCCTTCCTGGCTGATTCATGAAGAATTACGACATTTGTGCAGATAATTGAGTTTCGTATTGGTAGACCAACTTCAGTTTTTGTGTTCCTCCCCCAGTGATTAGTGCATTCAGACTTCACACTAAAGACCCAACAGGGTTTGATTTCTAACAATGCCAGCAACCCTATTCTTGGTGTTCCCTAATGTGACATTGCTGCAGTATTGCTAATATCTAAGTAACAGTCCTCTTCTCAATCAGAGATATGCAGAGATATGTTACAAAATATTGGTTTACATCCCTCACTCACATTCATGGAAATATATATGAAAGCTGATTCCATACACACTGTTCCTCAGCATTGCTTAGTCAGCAGAACAACTGTTCTTTCAGAAATGTTTGTCACTTCATATTGTCCCAATGGGCCTCTACTGCCCTGAACAAAAGGAGACTAAAAGCCCAGATGCCACTAGGCCAGAGACTCATGACTTATGTTCTGTATTGTGTGTGGCATTTTGTGTCAAAGGCAATGTTCACAATGTCATCTAGTTTGTTTTCTCTGGAGATTAATTAGCAAACTATGTGGTCTTGACAGATGGCCTGCATTTGGTCCCCCAATAAACTATCTGGTCTTTAACATGTGGTTTGTCTTTGAACCACTCCTGAACTAGCTGAGCTGGAGTAGGACCAATGG